CTTCAAGGCAAAACTCCTCATGAGTTGCTATTCGGGTGTGTTCCTCATTTTGATCATTTTAGGGTCTTTGGTTGTCTATGTTATGCTTCCATGCAACCAAAGCCCCAAGAAAAATTCAGATCTCGTTCCAGGAAGTGCATCTTCATTGGATACCTATATGGTGTTAAAGGATGGAAGGTATTTGATATTGAAACTGAAGAATGCTTTGTCTCACGTGATGTCAGTTTTCATGAAACCATTTTTCCATTTGCTGATCTTAATATCATTCCTCCTGCTCCGGTATTGCCTCGTTTTCTGCATGATGATGAAACTACAGTCCCTGCACGATGTGATACTCCATTACCAGTTGAACCTTCTTCGGATTCTTTACTTATTGTTGATCAGACACAGGTCCAAGGCATTGACTCTTCAGCCGAACCAGTTGAAATTTGTTCTGATGACTCTTCAGCCGAACCAGTTGCAACTCGTTCTGATCCAACACAGGTCCAAGGTGTCATTTCTTCAGCAAGTGACAATCCCGCTGCTGAGTCCCATCTATCGGGTGTGTCTCGATCCTCTAGAACAAGAAAGCCACCTTCATACCTCAGTGACTATAAGTGCAATACGGTGAAGTCCTTACCAACACATACACTCACTTCTCAGATCGCCTCTTCCACTCTTCCCTCAGGTATGCGATATCCAATTGTTAATTATGTGACAACTAACAGATTTTGTCGAAAACATCGCGAGTTTGTTGCAGCGATTGATGCAGGTAAGGAACCAAGATCGTTTAAAGAGGCAGTGGCTCAAAGTGAATGGCGCAAAGCTATGGCAGATGAAATTCACGCCCTTGAAGAGAATAATACTTGGCGTATTACAGACCTGCCTCCAGGAAAACAGGCTCTACCGTGCAAATGGGTATACAAAATTAAATATCTTTCCGATGGTACTGTGGAACGCTACAAGGCACGTTTAGTCATAGCAGGCAATCATCAAGTTGCGGGCGAAGATTTCACTGAGACATATGCTCCCGTTGCCAAAATGGTCAGTGTTCGTGTTTTTCTTTCAGTAGCAGCTGCTAAAGGGTGGCATCTTCATCAAATGGATGTCCACAATGCTTTTCTTAACGGTGACTTGCATGAAGAAGTTTATATGCGTATTCCTCAAGGCTTTGATAAAGCTCATGAACACAAGGTATGCCGCTTGCAACGTTCATTGTATGGCCTTCGTCAATCTCCTCGCAACTGGTTTGCTAAGTTGAGTGTTTCCCTCTTACAATATGGCTTTGTTCAATCTCAAGCCGATCATACTTTATTCACTTTTAGCAGTGGGACCACGTTCCTCGCCTTGTTAGTTTATGTGGATAATATTGTTTTAGCAGGAAACGATTCTGATACTTGTGCCCAAGTGAAAGCTTATCTTAACAGGTGTTTCAAAATTAAAGATTTGGGGCTTCTGAAATATTTCTTAGGCATTGAAATTTCCCGTAACAAAGATGGAATTTTCTTGTGTCAACGGAAATATGCATTGGATATACTTCAGGATACCGGTTTGTCAAATTGTAAACCGGTCTCTTTCCCCATGGAACAAAATCATCGTTTGGCTCTGGATGATAGCCCTGCTTATATTGATCCAGCTCGATATAGGAGGATAGTTGGCAAATTGGTCTACCTCACTATCACTCGACCTGATCTGACTTATGTTGTTCATATACTTTCTCAATTTCTGCAAGCACCAAAAGAGGCTCATTATGAAGCTGCCATTCGAGTTCTCAGGTACATTAAGACAAATCCAGGACAAGGCATTCTTCTCTCCTCTCATAGTGATCTTCAGATACACGCTTTTTGTGATTCTGATTGGGCGAGTTGTCCTTTAACTCGACGCTCTATTTCTGGTTTTTTTATTATGCTTGGCTCCTCCCCTATATCGTGGAAGACGAAGAAACAATTAACTGTATCTCGCTCTTCCGCCGAAGCTGAGTATCGTTCTATGGCTGCTGCAACAGCTGAAATGGTCTGGTTGAAATCTTTCCTTGCTTCGTTACAAATACAACACAATGCACCTATGGAACTATGCTGTGATAATCAATCAGCCATGCACATTGCGGCAAATCCGGTTTTTCATGAACGAACCAAGCACATCGAAATTGATTGTCATTTTGTGCGCGAACAATTATTGGCCAAAACTATTCGAACTACTTTTGTTCGTTCTCACATGCAGCTAGCAGATATCTTTACAAAGGCTCTTGGTCAAGCCTCCTTTCTTGCTTTTCTTCCCAAGTTGGGCATTTCGAATCTCCATGCTCCAACTTGAGGGGGAGTGTTGGAATAAGAATATTCCCCATATTGTTACAGATTTGCTGTATATAGTTGTTAGGATTAATAGCCTATCTATTTTGTTAGTTTGTTAGATTCTTAGGATCAGATTTGTTTTGGTTGTTACGAAGAATAACAACCGTGCCTTCAGCATTGTGTATTTAATGGCTAGCCAATTGTAAAGTTAAACAGAATAAATGCAATACAAAGTTACAATTTAACAAGTTAAATGAAAAATGAGGATAACATTTAATTTTTATTTAAATATAGTTGTTTTCTAATTTTTAATTTTTTTATTACTTTGGAAGTGCAAATAGCTAAACAGTTCACTTACTCGCTGATATATATTAAAAATAATTTAATATCAAAACGTGTCCTAACATGTCGAAATTTAGTATTTTTTAAAATTAACGTATCGAAGTGTCGTGTCGTGTCCCGTGTCTGTGTCCGTGCATCATAGCCTGTTATGAATATAATTATCGGCATGTGGCCTGACTTATTTACAAAAAATTAAAAATCTAATTTAGCCTGTTTAAAAAAAATAAGATAACAAAAATTTATCCAAACAGAATATACAATCAACAATCCTAGTAATTCCATAAGTATTCGTAAATTCAATGTATATCCAAACAGCATAATAAAGAACAAAAAAGTATGTTTAACTAATAAAATGGAGAGAAATAGATTGAGGAGAGAGAGATGGGTATTACAAATAGTATAAAAATTTATAAAATAAAAATAAAAATTAATATAGTAAGCCAGCTCAGGCTTTAAGGTTGAGCTTTTGAATCGGAGCCTGAGATCATTTTATTAAACGAGCTTTTATACAAGTCCAAACCTGGTTCTAACAACCAATATTAGGCATGTAAGCTCATGCCTTCACGAGCCGAGCCAAAGGGCCCTGAAAGGCCACTGGTTCATTTATTACCCATGTTGCATGCTATAATTTATTTTGACAGTAATAGCAAAATTACCTGAATTAGTTTAATTAGTTACCTGAATTAACTATGGTTATTTAAATCATGTTCAGTTATGTTTGCCTAAACTCACGTTCATTTGACTCATACTTAAAGAACAAGTAATCACTATGTATTTTTCTCATTCACGTAACCAGAGAGGTCGAGGCTCAATGCAAGGTTTGTCTCAAGAATTCAACAACACATTGAAGGAGATATGTGGGAATAATGAAATTACAATGGTTATTGAGAAGGAGTTGTTCAAAACAGATGTTGAAAAGAACAATAATAGACTCTCACCGTCATTGAACCAAATTACAAGTTTTATATATCTTTAACATGTCCTCTCACACAAGAGTTTATTGGACTTGAACTCTCACACAAGAGTTTATTGGACTTGAAATGTGAATGATGCATCAAACCCAGCCTATCTGTGTTAAGAAATTTCACAAAAGTGAAAAGCGGTGAAAATCGAACCGGTAACACCTAGACTCTGATACCATGTAAAGAATAATCTCAACATAAAAGTTTAAGCTTGGAAAAGAAGTTACATTAATAATTTTATATGTCTCGGAAAAGAAGTTACATTAATAATTTTATATACAAGTTTATTGAGAGAGAATGAGTTAAAGCTTCTTGAAAAGCAAAAGTCTATGAAGGTCTCGTTGATCCATAAATAAACAGGGAATGTGGTTCCTCTAAAGGAGAGTATTGTTGAATTAAGACAATGGGATAAGAAGAAATGCTCTACTTATGTGATGATTGGGTTTGGGATAGGTGATTGGGTTCAAATTTGGGCATCAAGAAGAGCAGATGAAGATGCTCTTTGCTTGGATCTCGTTGTTATTTCAAAGAGAGATGTTACTATTTCTTTGGAAAAAAGCTGGGCCAAGACTAGAAAAAGAAGCATTCGTCATGAAGTAGCCACCCCAAGTAAAAGATGTAAGCAAATCTGTCAGCATTGAGTAATCTTTATGTAATTAGATTGATTTGATGATTGTAGTGTTTTCATTTTTTGTTTTGATTTTCTGTATAATACAATGTTAGACACAATCATGGATTTGGCGAGTTTGGCGTAGTTCATTATGGTGTATTGGCTGTGTTTCTTTACAAAGCTAGGCCGTGCTTTTGGCGTAAATCACATAATCTGTTTGCTTTCTTGCCATTAAATTTTCTTCATCCACACAGGAGAATTGGGTTAATGGCAAGAAAGCAAGCTAAACTCTTTAATTTAATTGTTCAGTCCTCAATGAAATTGCTTCAAAAAGTGATGTTCTACAAGCAGTGATTGAATGGATACAGTTTCTCTAAATTGAATCCTATTAGCCCAACAGTTCAATAGATTTAGTCTAAGCAATAACATTGTGTTACGATCCCATTTGCAAGATATGGAACTTGAAGTCTTACATTGGTTATATAAGCAACTAATGTGAAGTTTATAAGACATTGGACACTTATACTCTTTGAGCTAGTTTTAAGGAGGTTTCTTATCACATTGGCAATGAATTTGCATACTTACAAATGCTGTTAATTCAAGGATTCCAAGCAAGATGTGGCGCAGTATATGATCATACACTGCAAGTGCAATATCATTGAGGATACTGAATTTTAAGTTCTTTGGGATTTTGGTTAAGAGAGAAATAAAGAAAAAGTTACAACACCAATTTGATAACAAAATTCATAACAAATATTTTGTATAAAATAAGAATATGAGACAAACATATAATGAAGTTGGAAATATCCTTGTGTCCTAAATCAGCCTCTTCAACAAAGAAATGAAGTAAACAATTAAAAGCCCTTTTCCTAAGAGTCCATCAAGCTTCATATCTCTTCTTATCAAAACCACAAGTGCCCAAACCAATCCAACAACCAAAAATGCCAATGTCTCCAAGAGATATGGATCTCTAGGAATCACTACAGGTTGTGGGTACTGTGACCATGTTGAAGACACAAGAGACAAGCCCAACCCAACAACAGCATTGAAGATAGAACCAGCATAGCAACCTGATATTGCTATTTGAGCACCCTCTGGTCCACCATTTAAAGCCATAGTCACATTTGTCATCAAATCCCCGAGTGAGTTCCCCCAAGCAAGAACTGTTAACCCCAATATTGAAGGACTTATTCCACATATGTAGCCAATTGAAACCAACAACCCCACCAACTCTTGAGCTAAAATGTAGCTCCAAGTCACACTCATTACAAACCCTCCTGCAAGCCAAGCAAAGTGCCTTGGTGGCTTTGACATTTCTGTTGTGAAAAATGCAATCACACCAAATATAATTCCAACCAATAATCCAATTCCATAAACAGTAAAATTTGTGCTCGAAAAACTGTTTTCCTTATAAGGGTACCACAGGACAGACAAGAGAAGAGGTGCTAATATCACTGAAGAAACTGCATAAGGCTTTGACCAATTCTCTTCACCAACAATAGGAATTGTCAACCTTGTAGGCAAGTAAAGGGGCATCTCCATGATATAAAGCGACATTCGATATATTGAAGATATCAAATTCATGTCACATACTTGAGCACCATTTTCAACACAATCAATTGATCCTTTATCTGTACCATTTATGAGAAGAGGCACATTCAAGTCATCACCAGAACTTGAACTAGTACTCTTCATTTTAGCATCATCAACAGAGCCACCCTTCCATCCGGTAGAAGAAGAGACACAAACAACAATCACATACACCACATACATAGAAAGAAAACCAATTGCTCCAAAAACATTGATCTCACCCGTGATCAAAATACTAAACAAGTAGACAATAGCCGAAAGAAGAAAACAAACATCTCTCAGAAAATCAGATTTTATCACTCGGATCCCCCTTTGACTTATTGAAATGCTCACTATCCCCACCACAACACAGGACACAAAGGAAACACCCCCAAGAACTGTGTTAAAGCCAATGCTGTGAGTCCCATTACCCTGAAAAGAGACAAGGCTTGAGAAAACATCATTGGCACCATTGCCAAGAGCGACAAGGGTCACTCCAGCAATTGTTGGGGACAACCTCAGTGATTTGTATAGGTTATCAAGGGAAGGACAGAAATATTCAGAAGTTGTGTTAGCCAATAGATGAAACATGACTAAGAGCCAACAAATTAGGAGACTAGGACCCAATAAAGGGAAACTCCCAAATTTGCAATAGAAAAGGTAAAGGTAATCAATATAGCCCTGAGAGACACATGGGTCATTGGATTTAAGGTACATACACTTGGCTTTGTAGTCACCAATGGTGTTTAAGCTCTTGCAATCATTCTCACTATTGCCATCAAAGGAAGAGAGGTTAGTCTCAACCACAACTTCGGGAGAGTGGAAATAATGAACAATCACATAAGCAAAAAACACAGGGAGGAACAACTTGTTCAAGAAGAAGGTGTAATTATAAGTGTAAATGTAACTCATGCGTTTGGAAATAGAAACTGTGATAGTCATGTTGAGAGAGAAATGCTTAAACCCCAGTTTCAAGCACAAAGAAAAGAAAGAAAGTGCAAGGTTAACACGTGTTTGAGCATGAAGAAAGAGAAGCAAGGTATAAATCAATGGAAGGAGAAGACCTCAAAAGTTTGTTGCTTCCAATGTTGCAAACGTCATTCAACACATGGGTGGAAAGAGTCAAAAAGATTGGTTTCACACCGCCTCCAATTATAAATCAAAACCATGGGGACAAAATGCATATTTTATGTTGGCAAATGTACTTTTATTGTCGTTGGAGAAGAAAAGTTAGAATATCCACGTGGATTTTGTTTTTGTTTTTTTGTTTTTTATGTCAAGATCCGTATTTGCATACTAATATAAATGTAATTATTGTAAAAAATTTCATCTGCAGCAATCGTAGAAATGACAAACCCTCTTATGTTTTGAGTTTCATATATGGATTAAGTTAATTATATACACTTATGTTACATTAATAATGAAAATTTAGATTGAAAATTTCACTATTCAACGAGAATTGAGCTTAGTAAAGGTCGGATTCAACACTGATTAAGAAATTAAATGTTTTAGAGTTTGTAATCTCAACAAACTTAAAAATTTCAAGGAATTTCTTATGGGTTGAGCTAACTTATACTTTCAAGTTTCAACAACATATTCAACATGCATATTCAAAAACATATAAAAAAAACTTTGGGGACCAGTAATATATATGCAAATATATATTTGCCAAATTTGGGGAAGCAATTGCTCCCATGGCTCCAATGATATTCCTCCACCATAGGTTATGTAAACATATTTGAACGGGTCTTACATATAATAATAATGCATTGACTGTTATACAAATATACAAAATAACATTTTATCTAGAATATAAAAATAATATTTTATCTTAGTCCTTAAGTATTTACTATTTTATTCATAATAAAAAATAACAATTTATCTAGAATGAAAAACTAGTATTATAACATTTACCTCATTTCTAACACGGGTAGAGTAATGCCTCCCTTAAACAAAATAATGCTTCAAACACCTTCACAAATATATTATTTTATAATTATATTACTTTTCATAATTTATTATACTTAGCGCCTGTTTGGATAGAAGTCACACAAAAAAAATTTAAAATCTGCTATTTTTTGTAAGCTAAAAATTCGAGCTTTTAAATAAAGTAGAACCCAAAAATCAAATAACTTTTAAAAAAATTAAAAAAATTTAATTTTTATAAAAAAAAATTAAAATAAATAAAACATAAAAAATAAAAAATTTGTTTACATATTCACAATCTTATTCTGACAGTTTCACTACTTGACACAAATATATATGATGTGATAAATTTAGTCGTAATATGTACCAAGTATTATTTTGAATAATTCAATTGCAGGCATTGCTGTACTTTAAAGTCTGGCATGCACTAAGACAGTCATCACCCTTTCTTTTGGTCGTAGAATAAAGTCTGAACTCTGAAGTCAAAGTGAACCTTTTACTTTGTCTCTAATTGCGAAACCACTAAGTTGCGGAATTCAACCTAACATTTTATATATGATTTATAGGAACGTGGACAAAGGTATATTTTATGTTTCAGTTTTAAAGATGGAATAAATTAATTATATACACTGTTATGTTCCGTCATACATGAAAATAAAGTTGAAAATTTCATGTGTTCTATGAGAGTTAAGCTTAGTAAAGATCGGAAGCTATACTAGTTAAGAAAGTAGGGATTTTAGAGTTTTTAATTTCAAATAATTCAATTACATGACATAGGTAAGTTAAATTTTGCCAATTACTAATTCTACTAATAAAATATTAAAGACATATAAAATAACTTTCACAAAAATAGACATATAAATAACTTTATTACATCTCCAACAAATGTCCCAAAACCTTATGATTTGTAAACAAGAAGATATTTTTCCTAAACCCTAAATTTTTGGTCAGGTTAAAAGTTCTATTATCCACTTGGTTATTTATATTTTCTTTATTTATATATATATATATATATATATATATATATATATATATATATATATGTTAATTTTTCTATATAAAATTATGGGACAAGTTATATTTACAAATTTTTTTGTTTACAAACTACACTAAGTATGACCGGTCATACTTTAATCATGCAGTGTACGACCGATCGTACTTAGTGCAATTTGCAAAAAAAGTTTGTAAACGGATCTTATCCTTAAAATTATATAAGTTAATTTATATATTAAAATAAATATTCTTAAATAACAAATATTTAAAGGTTTAACATTTTTCCTAAAAAAAATAATAATATTATCTCTAAGATAGCCTCAAAACGGTTTTTCCTAGCGAATTTTTAAGCATTTGGCTACGGCTTAAACCAGCGCAAAAAATTTTGCAGGCAGTTCTTGAAACTGTCATTGAAACTGGCGACGCTATTCCTTTTGCGAGATTTGTTGTCGGTTTTGAAAACCGGCGGAATAACCGCCGGTATATCTTTTTCTAAGTTTAAAAATAATGAGTCAGTTTTAAACCGCCTCTATAATTTTAGGAATAAAAAAAAATATAGCAGAATCTGTTGGATAAGTGGCCTCAAACTCAAGAGGGGTGGTGAATTGAGTTTTAAAAATATTTTCGCAAAATGCCTCATTTTCTTTCTTAAAAATGAATTTCTTGAAAATGAATTTCTTGTGTTAATATTATTTTGACACAAGTAAAGTTTAAAGAATAGAAATTAATACAAGCAAATAATATGCAATGTGTAAATTTAAGTATACTCAAGTATTCTAACAATGCTTATGTAAAGAGATAAAGAGTTAGAGAGATTACAATCAAGATATATCCTGGTTCGGTCACCACCACCGTGACCTACGTCCAGATTGAAGCCGCTTGTTCAACTTTCCACTAATGATCAAGCTTCAAGGGTGCTTGACAAACCACTACAACCTTCAAGAATTTTGGTTCTTGAAACCCTTACACTTTCACTCACTTTCTTAGGTTATGAGAAACCTTTTCACTAGAGTCTCACTACCCTCAACTCAAATAAACAGAATGAAAGTGTTTAGAAATGGATTTTTACTCTTGAAGTACAATTATACAAGTTGAAGCTTATGGGTATTGATCTATGACACAAGAATGAAGCTCAAAGGAGTTTTATGATCAATATGAGCAAGAACAAGTAATAAATGTATTTGATTCAATGAGAATAGTCAAGAATGATAGAAAAATCAATGGAACAGTAATTCTTAGTGTTCTGAATCGTAATAAATGAGTTTATATAGGTGTTGGTACGAAACTAGCCGTTTATAGCCGCTGGAATGCTCGCTGCCCAGTAAGTATTCAAATACTTTTCGTGAAGTATTTGAATACTTCATCAAGTATTCGAATACTTTTCTTAAGATATTCGAATACTTTGTTCTCAGCATAAGTATTCGAATAATACTTTCTTGACTGACCATAAATAATGCAGTTTTTTGAGTTGTAAGCATTCTTGCTTGCCTGTAATCACTTTTAATGTAATTCCTTGACTTGTTGAAAATGTTTTGAGGTTACGAAATATGTCAAGGGTCTTTTTATAAATATTAAAGCTTTCAAGTGATTAGTGTCATGGATAATCCATGCATAGAGTTAAATATCCTTTGAGCTCATTTGAGCATCATTAATCAATTACCTTTACATTTAGATCTAAGCTCTCAAGGATATGCTGCAATCTTGATCTTTGATCTTGATCATGTGTGTTGAATGATTTTCTCTTGTTGTCTTGTTGAATTGCTTCCTTGGACATTTTGATTGTTGCAAGTTGTATTATCTTTGAAGTCGCTTCTAAGCTTGTTTGTTATCATCAAAACTCTTGTATGAATAAACTCTTCATTTTAAATGCATTGGTTTCACAATCTCTCTCCCTTTTGATGATGACAAACTCAAATTGAGAAGTAGGGGTAGCGTAGTATGTATTTTGACAAGGTGGTACTAGGACTCCCCCTTAGTATGTGGATAGTTGAAAGAATTGAAAAAACGGAGTTATAGATCTAAATTTACCTTACTTTTACCTTTTATGATTATGCTCCCCCTTTTTACCTTAGTTTGTACCCTTTTTCAAGTAAAGGGTAAGTTGTACATATTTTTCTCAATTTTCAAATGCTTCTCCCCCTTTGGCAACATAAAAAAGAAAAAGACAATTCAAAGCAAAACAAGTAGGAAAATGAATTGCAGATCATAAACTAGTGAATGTCACAGTCATCTAGGTAAATACCAACATTCAACCACAAAAAAATCCAACTAGAAAAAGTCAACATCATAAAAAAAATCTCAGCAAAAAGATAAAGATCCAAAAAGAAATGGCTGTTGGTGTCATATCTCAGGTGAACCACCAGCAGGAATGTCCTCCTCATCAGAGTCAAACATGCCAAGATAGTCCTCTATCTGGGTGAGACGCTGACCCAATGGTGGCCTTCATGTTAATGAGATACTCCATTACATCGGTGATAGTGTAAGGACAGGGGGCACTCACATATGTAGAAATATCAGGAATAGAAGGGTCCTCAGTAGCAGCAGCTACTGCAGGCATATTAGCAGTAGCAGCTGCAGGTATATCAGCAGCCTGAGTAGGAGCATCCTTATCCATGGGATCAGCAGTAGGAGCAGTGGAGGAGTGGATCCACTCGCCGGCTACCTGGCAAAGTCCACACTTTTTCAGTTGTGTGCCTGCAATCTTGTGATTATCTTTCAAGAGGCTCGTTACCTCCTCAGTCATATGAACCCAACGATAATCCATAATAGCCTAGACAAGCATAGGACATGGAAATGGAGAAGTCTGATGATGGTGAGCAGTGAGCATAATGCGGCAAATAGTGTCAGGCCAATAGATTGCTGCTATGTGAAGAATTGCCTACATACAAAATAAGTCAGTGTTAAGAACTAAAGCATGATTTCCCCCACGAGGTGAGATGGCATGGGTGACAAGATAATGCAAGATCCGGTTGGGCACCGTCAGACATAAAGGAGAGAACTTGGTCATGCCAGGTTTGTAAACC